TTCTACAGCTAGCACACTATATAATAACAACATTACACAAAACACTTCATTTCATATAGAGAAGAATAAGAAAACCATTATAGGAGAGGAAATTAAAGACCATGGCCACCGAGTTGTTTGGAGTGAAGATCGAAAGAAATGTTCCACAGTCCAAACTCAAGGAGCTCGATGTTTACGCATGGCTCAAGTATGTCTTTTTTTATTTGATTTTCACAACTTTTTAGTTTGAGATATATATCTTAATCAGTTAATTTATATCCAATCATCTTCTTCCTGCGAAAACAATTCCGTTTCTTAAATCTCTCATTTTGAAACTCTCTCTTCCTTTTGCCGCATTTGTTATTTTTTTCTCTGTTTAACCACAGGAATGAAAATTGATGGGAATAATTAACGTGGGGTGTTGTTGATTGTTGTAATTACAAATAGGTGGAGTTGTGGTCCAAGCAAATTCGATTGGACATTCAGTGCGATGGAGACAGTGTATCTGATAGAGGGTAAAGCCAAAATCAAGATCGAAGAGCACAATGAGATATTTGAAATTGGGGCTGGAGATATGGCTATTTTTCCCACTGGAATGAAGATTAATTTGGATGTCATAGAAGCCATAGACAAGCATTATAAGAGATAATTAGCTTTGGCTATCTTTTATTTATGCTACTCTTCAACTATCATGTGTTTGTGTCAACATGAGCATAGTTCAGTAGTAATTAACATGTATTTCTTCCCTCGGGATTAAGTTCGATCTCCATATCCCGAAATTATTGTACTCAATAAAGGGGAAAAAACTATCTAAGCGTTTGTGTGCGGTGAAAAATTATGCAACTTTTAGGTAAAGCAATTGTACTTTTTAGAACTTCTTATGTTGTTGACAATAAGCTCTATGTTTGTTTTTATTGGGCGGTTTAAGAATTTCCTTTAAATGAGAGGATTCATCATTGCAAATTGGACATTTAATTAGAAATTTCTTTTTAAAAATTATTTAATTGAGAAATTATTTTAAAATGTAACAATAATAAGTCAGAAAATTATTCCCTATGGAGAACCTGATCTTGAGAATTTCTCATAGTAATGTCCGCTCCTATCCCTGCACAATTTCGTAGGAAGTTTCATGAGGGTTTAGATTTGTGCAGTATTCCATCTAGTACCACTTGTTTTCTTTTCTTTTTGTTTTAAATACTGAACTCTTTTTATACATCTTCCAAATTTCAATTTCAACATTATTTTCCTTATTTTTAGGATTATGAAATTTTAAGTTGTTATTTCTAGACTACATCTTTTACAAGGTATATTATTTTAGATACATTGTATTTAGATTTTAGATTTCTATTTTGCAATGGTAGTTTGTTGTATGCATGGTAACAGTGAAGAGTGTGTCGTCAAAAAAGTCAACGAATTGAAGTAGACAAAAGAAAGCTACAACAAAAGTAGTAAGAGGGTAGAAAAAGGATGAAACAACCATAAAAAAAGCTAGAAAAATGGATAACATAATATATAATGACAAAAAATAATAGAATCAACAAATACGTGGTATATAAACCAATATACACTAAGGAATAAGGTAATATAGAGGTTTAGATCTAGGAGTTTAGTTGACCCTCAGTTTCTCCAACACGTCGTCGGTAGTTAATGAAAACACGTGCGGGGACGCATGAGAAAAAAGATACCAGTTCGGATGAATACCAGACTGCACACTCATTTCACCGAACTCAATCGAGTGATTTGGACGCGTATTCCGAGTATCGATCCTTAGGAACAAATGAAGTCTTTTTAATGGAAATGATGTTGATCTGTGACTTTGCAGTTTAATATGGGGTAACAAATATCAAGGATAATATTGATTTTTTTATTTTAAAACTTAATGCAATAACTCCAGCCCAGTTAATTCAAATTAGCTAAAAATACGACAATTTTTTCCAACTAGACGTCAGGAGCCTCTCAATATTTTTCATCGATTTTGCTTCCCCATCTTCTTATGTCTAAGTGATTTTCAAGGTATAAGTTCATCCCTAATATGTCTAATAGAAAATTGAACTTAA